CGATTGTGGAGGTCAGCAGGGAGCTGCTCAGCTCTGGGTCCCAGAGCTGCTGGGCATGGGATGTGGTGGGGCACGTCTTCTTCGAGTTCAGCCAGACCTCAGGCAGACTTGTAAGTGCAGAGCAGGACACGTGGGGCTTTGACCGGTATCTGGACTGCGCTGAGAGCTCCTGCAGGCATCCTTGGCCATGGAGAGCTCCCTGCTGCACGGCCATCAGCGCCAGCACTGCTGTTGAAGTGGCCTCCAAATGGCCGTTCCTCGTAGGTGTCTGTGCTGATACTGGTGGAGATGTCAGTGGATGCTGTGGGTTTGCACCCAGGCGTGCCACCCAGGGCTGCGGGGCTGCGTGCGCACCCCACAGGCTGAGCTGTGCCCACAGACACCTTCAGCAACTCAGGGGCTTGCAGGGGATGAACATCCTCCATCCTTAAGTGCTGATGGACAATGAGCTAAACACAGCCCGTGCAGACAGGTGGGCCAGGCTAGAGGATCTTTCTGTGATGTTCCCATGCTCTGGCCCTCCAAAGCACACTCTTCCCATCCAGTAACAGTGTGGGGGCCCACATCCCTTCTGGCAAGGGGATGGGCTGTTTGGCAGTCGCTTTGGTGGGCATTTCCAGCTGGGCGCACAGGAGATGAAGGTTGGGGTTGGCCGAGCCTCCCGCTGACTTGCCGAGGATCTTTCTTCTGGCCAGAGCTTCCCTCTGGATGGGAGATCTGTGCATGTCGCTTTGCTCTGAGGCTCGGGGAGGGTCTTCTTTGGGAGCAGGGCAAAGGAAGGGGTTTCTGGGGGCTCCTCTACCTCTGTTGGGCTGAGAAGGCACTGGGCACAGCCCTGCTGAAGGGCACATGCCTCACCTCTGCTTTGGTGGCACAACAGCAGCATTTGGGTCCCAGGGGACTGTACAGACAAGCAGTAGTGCTCTCTGCTTCCAGTCTTCCCATTCCTTCCCATGGTCCAGGACCTGGTCCTTGGGCTGGGTCCAGCTGTCCTTGTCCTGCTTCAGGAGGTCAGTGCTCCTGGGAAGCTGGCACAGGAGCACTGCTGGGTTGTGCCTGACCCTTGTCAGTCAGGAGCTGAGAGTAATGAGGGGTTTGCCAACTCTGTCTTACAGAGGACAGGAGGCCTTTTTGCCTGGGAAAACCCGGAGGATGGAGCTATTCGAGCCCTGTGCATGGACATCCTGGGCTCACTGGATGTCTCTCGGAGAGGGATGACCAAAGTAAGTTATCCTCTGCCCTTCTGGTGTGGCCACTTCTTGCCTTCAGGACATTTTTCCTCGCACGGTCCCATGCCCTCAACCTCTCCCCTCACATGCGCTGAAGAGCACAAGGCTCGGGGAAATGCAGACCGTCCTTTTTGTTGTCAAGCTGAGTGGAAATGCCAATGTGGCGAATTGCCTGGTTGTCCTCTGCAGCTCCTGTGGCTGAGGCTGCTGCAATACGTGGTGCCAGCCCAGTACAACGGGATGCTGATCCCGCTCTCCCGCTGTCTCCAGGCTCTGGCTGAGAGACAGAAGAGAGTGGGGTGGAAGGAAGAAGAGGAGGAGTCTGGTGCCATGGACTCCCAGGAGCAAGGTAGGAGCCCCAGTGAGTGGGGGCTCCTGGTGAGCCGGGGCTTGTTCCTGGCCGTGCTGGAGCTGCCTTTGTCTCATGCTGGGACGGCGTTGGGAGACCTCAGGCCAGTGCTGTGCTGGTGCAGCTGCTCTCCTCCCTCAGCCCTGTGTGGGGCATTGGAGGTATGAGGGGGAGGTCATGATGGGGGCTCATCGGCTCACCCAGCCTTTCTTCATCCCCGCAGCCCAGCTGCCAACTCCCCAGGCCCTGCTGGCTCGACTAGTGGTGAGTAGTGGGGCCCTGGGGAAAGAGCTTTTCTGGCCGGCCAGTGCTGTGCTGGTGCAGCTGCTCTCCTCCCTCAGCCCTGTGTGGGGCATTGGAGGTATGAGGGGGAGGTCATGATGGGGGCTCATCGGCTCACCCAGCCTTTCTTCATCCCCGCAGCCCAGCTGCCAACTCCCCAGGCCCTGCTGGCTCGACTAGTGGTGAGTAGTGGGGCCCTGGGGAAAGAGCTTTTCTGGCCAGGGGTGGTGGGAGAGCCCAGGGCAGAGATGCTGCTGAGGCCAGTTCCGGAGCCCCCGAGGAGAAGGCAGCATGCCTGAGCCTGCCCGAGCCCATGGGGGATCCCCCTCCTTTCAGGCTGGGGACACGGAAGGGGGGACAGGAAAATTCAGCTTCCCAGTGTGATGGAGGGGAATGGTTCCCAGTTCCCCAGCACTTACTTTGCTGCCTTTCCCTGTCCAAGGAGCCAGCACTAACGCTGGTGGCTGGGGTGTGCTCGGGACAAGGGCTGCAAACGGGCAGAAAGCAGGGGGCTGGTCAGGAGAAAATGTGTGTTGCCAACGTGTGCTGGGACTCAGGAGCCAGCGTTGTCCCAGGAGCTGTGGCCAAGCAGTGGGGATGAGCTGCAGGCAGCGCACCCTTCCCCAGACTGAATTCTCAGCTATGACATTGCCCATGTGACCCTTTCTGTGTCTTCGGCCTCTCAAGGGCTTTGGCGCAGGGGCTCGCAGGCTCTCTCTAGCCTGATAGCCTGGGACTTTTGGGAGGTCTGACCATGGAGGAGACCACTGGGCTTGTCTTTTATTGTGAGCTGAAACAGCAGCAAGAGCTCTTGCTTCCTCTTGCTTTCTAGGAAGAACCGAGAGCTCGCTGCACTCTGCGGAGTGGGAGGACCATGTGCTTAAGGTACAGCATCCTTGGGGCGGTGTCACAAACAGAGGAGGGGAAAAGGGAGCAGACAAAGTTGTGGGAGGGAGGCTGGCGAAAAGAGGTTTGGGGGGGGTGAGGGAAGAGCCTGCCGTTCCTGGCAGCTCTCCCCCAGCAGCACCCCAGGACATGCGAGGGTGGGAAAGTCCAAGGGCAGGGGAACACTCGCTTTCCCTCCTGGTTAC